TCGGCATTCGTTGTACAATTACTTCGATCTACAATTCTCTATTTTGAGGCTTCGAATCTCGTCTCATCAACTCCCACAAATGAGCTTCAAGGAAATACTATGCGGTCCTATAAAGTCAAAATGAAGAAAGTTTTCCTCTCTTTCCAAAGTTTTTCTTTCTAACTTCTCTCCAAGTTTCTTAAGAAAATGATACTTTAAATTAAGTCCAAATCTTAAGAAAATCTTATATACCTTTTTTCCTTGACTTTTTGACCCAACTAGGATCATTATGTAAATTTATTACATGAATGAAATTCTTTTAAAACTTGTTCCTATTTTGGTATAGTCAACACAGGTGCCATTAGTTAACACAATGTTATATCGTTATCTATTGGTAGGAGACTAACTTTTTAAACTTTTTTATTCTTATAAAGTTGTTGTCTCCAAAAAGAAGACTTGATATATGTGTCTATATATATATATTACTTTATTTTAGAAAATATTATATTGTCCTCTTTTATCTTTTATTCATTCCCATCCAAACGTGAAAGATATTGAATTTTTACTTGTTCCGGTATTTAGTTGTATTCATTTCTATCAACACTATCACATGCCCTTCATTTTGAATGTATAATATATTATTTCTTGTGGTGTTTCTCACACCAACGACAGAAGTTAATTTTTTTTTTTAAATGATGCTCTCATGGACATTGACACACATTGATTTTTTTTTTTTTTTTCAAATAGTGGGTTCCTATACAGCAACACATGCATAAAGTAAGAAAAAATTAAAAGAATAAAAAAATTTAAAAAGTTAGTCCCCTATTGAAGGATAGCAACACTAATTATGTAAAAAGAATAAAAATTTATCTCTCACTTGAAGGCAATGACACTTATTTTAAAATTAGTTATTAGTTAAAATAAATGTAGTTGGAGTTGCACTCATGCACGCCACTTGATTTCACATTTAAATTAGTTTTTTATATAAAAAAAAATGTGACATGGGGTGACACTATGTTGACCAACAACACTCACATTGCTATTCCAAGGTGGGAATAAGATTCAAAACAATCTCAATTTTGTAATAAATTTCCATATTTACCCTAGTTGGGTCAAACATCCCCAATCTACAATCTACGAATCTCAATTCTAAGGTTTCGAATCTTAATTAAACTCCTATTAATAAGTTTTGGAAAAGGACTAGAGTAGTCCTGTGATGTCAAAAAAAGAAAATTTTCCTTTGATTTCAAAAATTTTCTTTTTAACTTCTCTCAAAGTTTCTTAAGCAAACAAACTTTTAAAGTTAAAGTCTAAAAAAATCTTATATATATTTTATTAAATTTAGTCAATTTTAACTTTAACTCAAAACAGTTCATAAATAATTAAACTTGTAAAAATTTCTTAATCTTTAGAATTTAAAGATATTAAAACAACAAAATTACATAATCATTAACTTAACAAAATTAAACAAATAATCTTACAATTCACAGTATTAAATCCTTATTGATTTTGTTGTCTCTTTTATTTCTATCAAAAGATTTCACCTTAATTTCATCATATTATACTCATATATTTATACAATAAAATTACTTCAATGTTGTGCGTTACCATCATATCCTTGAACGAATGTGAACTATCTGTGTTATTATTGTATCTTTTAATGATCCCACAACACATATGTCTTGAACCATATTTTTAATTTCTTAATGTGTTTTTTTTTTTTAACTCAATATCACTCTATAAACACTACTTTTGAAACATCTCTCTGTAGAACACTATTTACTGTTCTGAAATGTGATTTTCAAAAATAAAAAATGAAAAACACTTTTTATAATGTTAATAAAAACAACTCGAGGATTTAGAAAGCACACTTTTCGGAAGAGTAATTATATTGTGTTTTGGGAAGTAATTTTCAAATTTGATTAGTTTTATCGCAAAATAGTCTGAGAATGTACGTCTCAGAACTGAAATTACCCAAAAATAAAATATAGGAAGTCCTAAATTAAGTGAGGTTTTATAAATATCAAAAGTCAAGGCTTTATAAATATCATGTCACTAAATAAAAACATCAAATAGTGCATGTAAAATATTAAAGTTTAAGATTAAAAAAGATAGTGTTCATGGGCAAAGCAAATTAAACATTGGTTGATTTTCCATAGTCTCATAAATTTAAATAAAATAAGATAAATAATGGCAAAATATCAGCGATATTCTTGCTTAAAAAGAGGAGTGGTGCGATGTTGTGTTACCACCAACCCTGACCCCCTAACCTGAGAAGGTGACAAGCCCATAATTAATTCATTCCATAAATAATCTGCCTCTTTAAATACTCAGTTTCCCATTTTTTGTTGATTTACCTGTCACGCTCCCATGGCCTCCCATGCCTTCACCGACAATGACAAGAACATTGTGTTTCGAAAGCTCAAGGCAAAGTCTGAAAACAAGGTTTCGCATTACCACTTTCATCTTCCTTCATTTTTTTGTGCCTTTTAGGTTTAGATCCTCGTCTGTATTTTATTTCAGATGTGTTTTGATTGTAATGCCAAGAACCCAACTTGGGCCTCTGTCACATACGGAATCTTCCTCTGCATTGATTGCTCCGCTGCGCATCGCAGTCTTGGCGTCCACATAAGTTTTGTCAGGCAAGATACACTCTCTTCTAATGTTGGTAATTGCATGTTAAGACTTTGTTTTATAAGGTTTAGGTTTTATAAGGCTTTCACTCAACATGTTTGGGTTAAGAGTTAAAGACTTTTACATAATTGAGAAATTTGTCTTAGATGCACGGAAAACCTCGTGTCTCTAAAATGAGATAATTATTCTTTAATCTATAAAAGAGTTGATAAAATGTATAATTATATACGGAGGTTAAAGCTCTTGTCGGTAGAATTAACTCCATTTTGATAAATAAATGTAGGTAGATGCTTATGTTTCATTAAACATTTGGAAATGTTCTTATGACAAATAATGTATTCAATACGCGATTCCTGCAACTAGTAGGCATGCCTTGTAAAGGGGAGCGAAGATACGCAATATTTGTCATAAGTGATATTGATTGATGCAGTAGTGGTAGTAACTTATGGTTTAGAGTTAAAAAATATTTTGATTTTGAATATGAAATAAATTATATTAGATGATAAATAATCAGTTTGTGTATGTTAAAGGTTTTCAACAGAAATTAATTACTGTTTTTAACGATAAATATTTTATACTAATACAATGGTAAAAATAAATGATGTTTGTAGTGATTTATATTTTATCTAAACACATTAAATGTGTGTTTCAATTTGGTATTATATGTATTTTGAGAAATTATCTTATGATTAGCTTTTAAGAAAAAATTGTTTATTATTTTTTTGCACTATTGAATGGATAGACTATGTGGCTAACTATAAATAAAATGGTGAAGGTAGAAGTAATAAGGATGACAAATAAATATGTATATATGAATAATGTTCGAACCTGTCATGACTTTGACGAAAAATATCTTATTTGATTAAATATGAATACATTTGATATTCATTTTATTAAATTGGGTACGAGAATGATAATGAGTATATATTTACTCGTTTCGTATTCATACTCATCCTCATTTTTTATTTCTAGGAACTTAATTTTACTTTTAGAACTTACTTGAGATTTATATAATTTTTTAAACTATTTTAATTTTATTTCGAATGAAACGTAATTAATGTAATTTTGTAATTATTATTTTATGTTAAAATTCATGTTTGTTTTTAATATTTTTTACAAAAAATATTTAATTAATTTTTAGACAGATACAAGCATATTTAATATCTAATAAGATAAATATGAGATATAAATTTTATATTCATCAAGTATAGAAATAATGATGAATATAAGATATAACTTTGAGTCGGGACAAAAATATTGAAACCTGCAACCATTCCGGTGTCATCCCTATGTCATCCCTAAAATGTAGGAGCAAAGTAGATCAATAAAAGAAAAATTGAATACTCATTCATTATATGTTCTTCTATGCAGATCTACAAATCTAGACTCATGGAACCAAGAACAATTAAGAATGATGAGCTTTGGAGGAAACAATCGTGCACGATTTTTCTTTAAGCAACATGGATGGACTGACGGTGGTAAATTAGAGGCCAAATATACATCGAGAGCTGCAGAGTTATACAAACAAATTCTTTCAAAGGAAGTATCTAAGAGTATTATTGAGGAGGCGAGTTCACAATCACCACCTAATGCTTCCCAATCTGCACAAGTTGTTGAAGGACTTCCTCAACTAAAGACTACTGAGTTACTAAAGGAAAATATTATGAACAAGTCTGAAATGCCAAATATCAGTACTTCACCCAGAGCTTCACATACAACAATTTGCAATACTATCAAAAAGCCTATTGGTGCTAAAAAATGTGGCAAGACCGGGGGACTTGGTGCACGAAAGCTTACTAAAAAGGTACGTAAATAATTATCTTTATTTGCATATAGTATTTGAAGAAAATCGTTGAGATTATTGGTTGGTCTTTGTATTGATCTCTTATATTTAAGATATTTTAAATTTACAAAATCTCTTTGTGTTATGAAGTCAAGTGAGTCTCTTTATGAGCAAAAACCAGAAGAAGCTCCATCTTTAGTTACTTCGTCAACAAACAATGATTTGCTTTCAGCGCCATCGCCAACATCTCGATTTGAGTATATGGAAAATGTTCAATCATCTCCTTTGAATTCAAGTTGTGGGGGTAAACGTCTGCTTAGGCATGCATCCTTACCAGAGTCATCTAGCTTCTTTGCAGACTTTGGAATGGACAATGATGTTCCAAATAAGTTTGGGTCAAATTCCTCAAAAGTGCAAGTAAGTCACATGCCTATAATTTTACCCTTGTATAATATCACTTTTACCGCATGTGATTAACCTACAAAAATAAATTATATATGATTTTGTTTGAAGTTTGACGTTGAATACCTATTACTTGAAAATACTAACAAAATATATATACACATGGCAAAACATTATTTACAGTTTCAAGGGACAATGCTAGCACACATGTTTTATCTCTACTATTAACAAAGAAAACTCTCAAGCAGTTTTTCATCTTTATATTTGGGTCTTTATATTTTACTCTAACCTTTATCTTTCATTTTATTAGTTTTCATGAAAAATAATATACAGATTATAAAATTTATGATTTTTTTCACTTTCCTTGTTGCTTTACCAATTTGTCAACTATCAAAAACATTTTTTGCACTTTTCTTATTATAATTACAATGTCATTTCTATAAATAAATAAAAAAAATTCATCACATCATGATTATTATTATTGTTATTATGTCCCCGCTTGTGTTTCTGTGTTTTTCTTAGTTAAAAGAAAAAATGTTAGCATATATGCAAGAAGAAAAAAAATTAAAAAGCATTTCATGTATCATATAAACAAATATGCCTAACAAGTATTTGTTAATTGTTTTAAAAACACGTTTTTAATTATTTTTCATCCATTTGAGTTTTTTAAGTTCAAACTTTTGTATTTTTATTAAATAAGTATTACATCTAGAAAAAGCGAAATGGAGGTATATAAGTCACACATTTCGCCCACCCATGCTTATTGTTCGGATGCAATAGTGTAAGATTAATAGATTATATAGGTGATATATTTAAAATTCAATAAGGTGCAACAAATATTTAGAGTTGTTTATATTAATGTTTTATGATTTGTAGAGTACTAGTCGATTGATGCACGACTTTTATATTTGTATTGAATGCATACTTATACTATGTATTTTGTTTATCCATTATAGTTAAGTAATTATAGCCTTTTGTCATGGCAAGATCCTCTAATTACGGGTCAAATGTTATTTTTAGATTTTGTTGGTGCATACTTATGAAATTCAGTGATACTAAATTTAAAATGCGTGTTACATCTTCTATTTAGCCCATATTCATCATCTCTCTTAACCAGTTGGGATTTGAATTGATTGCAAATGAAGTTATTGCATAATACTATCTTTAATTATAAGTAATAAATTAAATATTTTTCTATTTATAAACAATAATTATTAACTTTTAAAATTATTTAGAGTTAAATTTTTTAATATTATTTATTTATTGTTAACCTTATTTCTTGTGCATTCATTTATAATTGATTAACATTTAATATAGCAACTACTTAAAATAAAAGGTATGTTTGAAATAAAACATGAATTTATAGTATAATTAATTGAAAGTAACTATATTAATTATTTTTCTTGGTCTTAATAATTTGTATTATGCTTATGATTACGACTAGAGGTAGTAATATTTAGAGTTGTAAAGTGAGTCGAGCTAACCTAGTCTAAACTAACCTATACAGGTCAAATTTATTTTATGTTAGGCTAGTTTAACTTATATTCTTTTGAGTTGTTACTTTTTAGTCCAACTTGACCCATGTCAAGCCATCAAGGCAAATTAGCATAATTAAGAAAAATACATTGAAAAATTAAATCTATTTTTTACAATGAAAAATTAAAAGAAAAAATAAATTATAATATGATTAATTGATACTATATATTAGTTACAAATGAGCAATCGACCAATCATAGTCGTATAGTTTTGAGTAGTTACATGTTCATACATCTAGAGTTAAACACACTCTACTTGAAATAGTAGTTAATGCATTCTTTAACTATTCATGTTTAGTTAAAAACATTTTATTATGATCTATGTTTCTATAATTGAGTTTAAAATAAGGATTTGACATTTTATTCATTGTCCAAACCCCTTTAAATTCAACATAACTATATAAAAGATTTGCTTGATAATACACTGGTAAGTGCATATTTATAAGTCTTAGGATCGAATTGTTGCTACTTCAAAAACTAACTTTGTTATCTAGTATGATCCCAATATCTCGGTACTTAAGAGATCCTATACATTTAATAATATGATTGCTTAAATGATTAGTACCTGAAACGAGAACGAGAAAACCTTCATAGCTGTTAATCCTAATTTTAAGTTTGTAACCACAAGTCCACAAATCTATAAATGAACACAAAATAGTAAAAAAAAAAAAACTATTATTATATTTAATTTATTCTATTATTTTGCAATATATTACAGATTAACAATGATAGTAGTTTAGTTTATTTTTCTTATTAGTTTAACCGGATAATTTGTAAGCTTGTGAGCTAGCTCGACCTTAATCCATTTGGCCTGTCGAGTTCAGCAGATTAGGCCAACATGACTTTATTCTATTTATGTTCTATTCTTTAAGGTTTAGTCTGACTTTATTTAAGGGTTGTTTAGATCAACCATTAGACTGAATTCAAATTGACAACTTTAGTAATGTTTATATCAAACAAATGCTACAAGAAAATGCTAATGATAACAGGTTAGTTTGTTTTAAAAATACTGTTTATAAAAAAAATGATTTTAAAATATTTTTTTTAAGCAGATAAAAGTTATTTATTAAATAAAAGAGAAAACTTGAAAAAGAAAAAAAGTTGTTTTGACAAACACATAAAAAATAGAAAATTATTTATTTTATTAAATAAAATGATTTTTTAAGAAAAAAAACTTAAACAAACGGATTTAATATATTTAATATATTGCTCTAAGCTATATTGAATGTTTATAAAGTATCACGTTTCTCCTATTTTTATAAACCTTGTGTATTTTTTTTGTGGACCCATTATTTTCTCGAGTTTATGACAAATTTTAAATTTAATTATTAAAAATTAGTAATTATGATATTTCATATTTAAATGTTTTATGTTCACGGTGCATACTTTTAACATGTGAATGATAAGCATACTTTTGTATAATTATCTCATTTAACCTCAAATATTAATGTCCAATTATTTGTATAATATTTACTTAGTTTTACGACACTTATTTTAATTTGTTCCTCTTTTTTTATATTTTAATGCCTAACCATTTGTCAGATTCAGGAATCCAATGAAGCTAGAAAGAAGTTCACAAATGCTAAATCTATTTCCTCATTCCAATTTTTTGGAGACCAAAACGAGGATGCAAATGATGCTCAAGTCACTTTGTCAAAGTTTTCGGTACGTTCTTTTATAAATTGTTGAAATATTGTTTGAGCATACGCATTTTTTTTTTGTAGGTAGTGGACTTTCATTTCCTAATTGTGGAAATGTAACAAGATTAGATAACTTATTACTTATATCATTTAACCTCTTGATTGTTATAACGCATAACATTTGGGGTGATAAAAGTCAACGATGAAAATCACTTTTAAAATTTGATGTTAAAGTGAATTTTAAATGAAGATTAAAAAAAAAAATTTCTTTTGAACAAATGGCTATTTGTATAAAGCATTTGTATTGAAGGAAACATCTTTTTCTTCTGTTTCTAGCCATTGTACTCCCAAGTTTTTATTGTCTCTATGATAGTATCCATGGAGAATCATTATTTGATAAATAATACAAGACAAAACAAAAACTATTTTTGAAAAGATATCAAACTTTTCTACTTTTATTGTTATAATTTCCTATTATAAAATCACGTCTATTTGTGTTTTCTTAACATTTTTTTTAATTAGTTAAACTATTTTTCTTTGTTATCAATGTGGATAGTAAGGTGTTAAACACATGAAATTTAATCCAAGGTAGTGTTAAAAACCTATGATCATGTGGTAAAAAGATATCAAACTTTGTCTTAGCGAATTAAAAATGGTAAACAACTTTCATGTTTTAATTCAAAGCATTATGTATTTTTTTTTTAATGTGAGATAATGCGTGACTTGTCCCTAGCGTGAAAAACTCTTAATGAGAAATTAAAGTCCCATATAACTTCAAAATTTGATGTTTGGCTGTATTTATCCTTTTCTTATTGTTAGGGTTCGACTGCCATCTCTAGTAGCGATCTTTTTGGTAACTCCACACATAACTCATCCATTGATTTTGCCACTAGTGATCTCCTTAATCGACTATCTACCCAGGTTTGCTTTTGGACTTATAAACTTGACTCTATTCATTGTCATTGTTGTCATTGCTCATGTCCCCGATTTGACATTTTCTTCCCATCTTTTTTCCTATCTTATTTTCCAGACACGAAAATATATTTTCTCTTAAAAATATGATGAAGCAACGAAGAATCTCAGCTCCTTAGCCTTCACTTTCATAATAGATCTTCAAGACTGAATTCTCTAAAATTGTAAGTTTTGTATCAAAGCAAACCTCTAAAGTCCGAGTCACCAGCCACTGATGTTTTGAATGTAATAGAATAATGCAACATGCAGTTATTTAGAACCAGATAATAATATACTATTTATGTTTTAAATGAGTCTCAAAACATGAAAAATAAATAATAGCAAAATAGTTTCAACACTTGATCCACAAATATCAAGACTAAAACCTCTTAAAGAGAAAAAAAAAACGATACAAAACATCTACAATACACATAAATTGTCGATAATTAATGATGAAGGAAATAACTAACTATATGTGAGATATATTGACAATAAATCAATGAAATGGATGTGAGGATGAAGAAAATAACAAAATGGAAGCCAAAGGTTAATCTTTGTTTAACTTCCAAATTTCGAGGAACTATTCTTTAAAGTTCCATTACATTATATATTTTTTTTATTCTTCCTCTCTTATCTCTTCTTCCTCCCAAAGACAAGGTAATACATATGATGATACTTGAACTCTTAAGTCAGAAAAATCTAATTTTGTTAGTGTATATATGTTCCATTGTGTCTATGTACTTGGTATCATAACTTTTTGTTTCAGTGAGTCAGATAACTTAATTACATTTATTGCTTCGGTAATTGCTTAACTTCTCTGGCAACAATAAATCTTAAACAAAGTCATAAATACATCCTTGATTGATGAAACTTACTAACGAAATCAGATACATTCGGTTTTACGTACGTATTTGAAATTGGTCATACATATTTAAAACCATATTTTTTTTCCTATCAAACAAACATTATTTATCTTTATTTATATATTTGATTTTCTTCGTTGTCTATAAATATCTTCCATTCTATTATCATTATATCTATATCCAACTTGAATTTAATATTTTTTAAATTATTAATAGTTAAAAACAATTAATATCATCTTCTAAATTATTCATGTCATTAATACATTCCACAAACGGATGTATTTGTATTTTTCTATTAAAATACTGAATTAAAGAATAAAAACATCTCTAATATGAAAGGTGCTTAATAATAAAATATCATTTTGATATATATTACATGTGATTTTAGGTTGCTTAAAAGTTAAAACTAAAGAAAGTTGTTTATATAAACAATTTTTTTTTTGGGTTTCTAAGTATTTGTGTGTTCATGTGGAAGAAGGAATATGAGATGAGAGAGAGAGAAATATTTGTGAGTTAATTAGCAATTTCTAAATAGAAACAATTGCATTAGAGTGATAATAATTAAACAAATTGCTTAAAATGAGGTGGCATGTATAAACTCACTTTAAAAAATATTTATTTGAAAAACATTAGAGATTATTTAAAATAAAAGAGGTTTGTGAAAATTTTGTCACATCAATTCATATGGAGTTTTCTAAAAAAAAAAATATACATCATGCACCATATAATTTTTTTGAAAATGAATATCTTTTATGAAACATTTGACAATTTTTGTTTGTTTTTACACGAACCATAAAAGATTAAATTTGATAAACAAAAGAAACATTTAACATTTTTAAAAAACCTGATATCCTTAATGTCGAAGCTCCACAATTTTAGTCTTAGGTAATATGAAATTGAGTAAAAAAGTCTGATTTAAGGATAAAAAGTTGTATTTTAGTGTGCATAATATATATATATAATTAAATATGTTTTTAGTCTTTATAAAATGAGTAATGATTCGATTATTCACTACATTTATTATGATTCATTTGGTATACATATGAAGATAACAAGAGACATTAAACTTAAGATTTAGCATGTAACTCATGACTAATACCATATACACAATTATATGTAAGGATTAGACAATAATAAAATATGAAAGATTAATCAAAGATGATTTGATACTTTATTCTTATAAAATAAAATTAACGTAATATATATATATATATTTTAAAATATAATAAAATATGAACACTTTGATTACCTTCAAGTTGTTGTTCAATTTTAACAAAATTTGATATAAACATATAAAGTGATATGAAGTTATAATTTAATGGTTGGACAATTCCATATTAAAATAAAGTTTAATTTTTCTTTTCTTATATATATATATATAATTTTATCATAATTTTTAATCCTTAATTTTATAATCAATTATTATTATGTTTTATCTTTTAAAATGTTCTTCTTATTTTAAAAGAGTCAAATCCTACGATATTAGATAAATGTAATAAGTATTGTATAAATATCCAACATTTTAAAGCTACATATTTTATTAATTAAACAATTTTAAAAACATACATGGATTTTTTAAAAAGATTTTAATGCATTAAATACGTATGTTTTTTTAATTAATAATTTTTTTTTCATAGAACAAAGCGCCTAACATTTAGGTGACATTTTTTTTCCTCTACAATGCAATGCTTTCAGGAAATACTAGTATTTTGCAGCAACTTATTTGTTTGAATTAGTCAAATGAAAAGATATTTCTTTAACATTTATTATTTGATTTTTCTTTAATTCTCAATGATCTAAATTGAATTATATAAATAATTAAAAATTAATCTTTTTTAAACTTATTCTCTATTCAAAGAACATAAATCCAAGATTTTTGTTAAGAGACACTTGAATTGAATTACCAAATATTATTATGAATCAGAGTCTTTAATATTTTGTTATTTATTACAGTAAGTGCATTAATTTTAAACATTTTAATGTATTAAATACTTATACTTTTTTATTTTATATAAGGAAACATTTTGACTTTTATTATTTATTTTTATTTCAAATATTAAAAATATTATTTATGCCAATAATATAATAGACTTAAAAATATTTTTAGTCCCTATAAAATTAGCTGATTTTGATATCAGTCTTTGTAAAAAAATTATTCATTTTTCGTCCCTCTAAAATTCAAATTATTGTTTTTAGTTTTTAATTTTTGTGTGATTATTTTTAATTATTTTTTGTTATTAAAAAATTAAGTGAAGTCTTAAGTGTTACATATAGTTGTTAGTAATATAATATTGGTGTTTAAGATTCGTAAAATTTCGTATAGATCATTAAAATAATTGTTATTCATTTATCTTAAAATAATTTTTATATATCGAAAATAGTGATTTTAAATTTTAAAGAGATGAAATTTAATTACTATTTTTTATAAAGATCAATCCAAAATTTATTTATTTTATTAGGACCAAAAATAGTGTTTACAAAACTAGAAAGATGAAAAATAAAGAAAAAAAAAATCATAGAATCAAAATCAAGACTTGTTAATTTTATAGGAACTAAAAATATATATTAAAATATAATATCATTTATATTTTTTTATTAGTAATAATAAAATTATGTACAATTTTAGTCTCAAACTATATATTTAATAATTTTCATTCATATTTATGACACTAAAAGTCATAATGGATTAAAATAATATTTTAAAAAAATACAAGTAAGATGAAAATAAGTTAGATCATGCCAAACTTTGAATATATAAACTATATTTATTTTATAAAATTAAAGTCTAAACCTGAATTATTATTTATTATAGTCTTCTACATAGTTTTGACTTAACTTTTTTAAACTTTGACTTCTTAATTTGTTAAAGAACTTATTTTATATTAACAACGTTAAATACACAAAAAAAATCAATAAGTCAACAAATATATTTTTAAATATGCATGTGGGTATTTCTTTTTATGAGAAAAAATAGTTTACTTCACTCTTATTAAAATTTAGATTTAAAAAAAATAAAGAGAGTAATCTTATATATATTTTTAAAATATTATTTATATTCCATTTGAAAACTTCTAAATAACCAATAATCAAGAGAGAAGAAAATAATAAATATGCAATTGTTAGAGTTTTTATTTTTGATTTTTTGATTTCGTATGAATAAAAAATAAAAAATATTTAAGTGTAATGAAAATATAAAAAAATATTGATATTTTTTGTATTAAAAAAATTTATTTAAACAAATTGTTAGTAATGTAATATGTATATTAATTTTTCATTATTTTATATAGATAAACAAATTGATTTATCAAGTCTAATAAACTTTTTTATAAGTTTAAACCTAACTTCTTTTATATAATTTTTTTTAAGTTTAAACTTGATTTTTTTATTAAATAATTCAAATTAAACCTTACATTCATGTGAAAGGTATAACCTATTTTCATAATTACAAAGACTAAAAAAAATCAGTTATAAATTTGAGAGATAAGAGACAAATTTTCTCAACATTTTAAATACTAAAAACATTAAATAAATCATTACCTCAATACCTTAATACTGTGTTTGGATGAAAAATTTGAATTAAGTAATTCATTTGTTTGAATAATTTTAACTTCTTTGAAGTGAAATACCTTGTTTAGATAGAAAAATTATAAAGAATTTGAAATTTATACATTTGTAAAAAATTTTGAAATATTAAATTTTCAAATTTTCAAAAAAAGTAATAATTTGAAATTACTCATATTTTTTTTTCTTCTTATTTCACTAGGGGTAGCAAAAATACCCGCACTCGCGGGTATCTGTGGGTAAAATCCGCTACGAATAATAAATGGATAGGCTAATTGGGTACCCGCGGATAATGGGGACGAATAATTTTTTACCCGTTTATAAACGGGGCGGGAGCAGGGATGATGATATCCACACCTACGGGTACCCGTTTAATAATATTTCTTAAATATCCTAGCTATCCTTGTACCACATAACCCTAAAACTACACTCTCTCGTCTTATTTTCTTACAAAAGTGAGGTTGATGAAGTTACCAACATGTGTTAAGCATGTTATAGAATTATGTTGGATATAATTTGATTAATTTTCTAGCTTTGATTGGGCTAATAAAATTTTTTCTGATATGAGACTTTCACTTGTGAGATTGATGTATTTTAAGTTATTGATTATCTTGCATTTTTATTATTATTTCAATAAAATTAACGTTAAATACAAGTTCAAAATTAACATTAAATTTTTATTTTTAATATTTCAATGACATTAAATATAAACTTAAAATTATTTCTAATATAATTTTTTTTAATTTCTTAAAAAATTTATAAATATCCATGGATATTCATGGATATTCGTGGGTATTCAAAAAATTCATGGATATCCGCACGGATATGGGGTGGGTACGGGGTCAATTTTCATTCTGCAGGGCAGGGACGATTTTACTATTACCCGCCCCCATGGGGCTCCATTGCCATCCCTATATTTCACTCATATATTTTATCTTATCTTTTCATGTTTTTAATTATTGAATATTCAAAAATATTTTTAAAATTATTAAATATTATATAATATTAATTTTTTAAATTATTAAATATTTAAAATTTAGTTAATATTTACTTTTATAAAATTTAATTTAAAAATCTTAACATATAAATATATTTTTAAAATCAATTTTATCGTGATGGAATCAAATTATCATATCTAACTAAAGAATTTAAAATTTAAGAAATTTGAACTGACTTATCAAAACAAAATATTTTAAGAATGATAGAAATTGAAATCAAAATAATTCAAATACCAAGAATTTGAAATTCTTTGAATTTGTAAAATTTCTCATCCAAACACACTATAATAGTTAAATATGTAAAAAAATCAACATATCATGTTTAATAATAATTGAAATATTTTGAAAGACTAAAAATTTCCAATTATAATTTTTTTATAAATAAAAGTGCATTTAAGTTTTTAAAATATAGGTATATTTTTTTTAAAAAAATTCTTATAATATTTTAATAAAATAAGTACATTTTTAGGTTTTAATGTGTTTGTTTTTTTTTCAATAAACAGTTTTGTGTTTTTTTTTTAAAGAAATAACTCTCATCTACTTATTAAAGAATTGTTATTTTTAAATATTTATTTAAAAACACTTACTTTTAAGTTTAAAAAAATGGATCATATCCTATATTACATTAAAATAAATCTAATCAATTTACCATAGGTATATAATTTAATAAATGCATTTAATATTTTAATGTGATGCTCATTAATTAATTAATGAATGATTTTAATATAAATAGTTGTGAAATGGGCGGGGTAGGGAAACAAGGACTAAGGAGGAGTTGGGAATACACAGCAACAACACGAAGTACAGTAACAGTTTTGGTGATAGAGAGTTTGAGCGCGCGATTGTGTCACTTTCGTCAAAATAAGTTTTGGTGCCAAAACTCTCTGCACACTAAAAATCCATTTTAATTTTTTCCCTCTCATTTCAAACCCTTTCTCTCTCTCTCTCTCTTTCTCTTTAAACGCTTTTCACCTTCCCTCCTATTCTTCCTCCTTTCAAAACCCTAACTCCCACACCAATTTTTTTTCCCTAATTTAAAACCCCAACGCTTTCCTCACCAAAATCGTGCCTAATTTTTCAACCTCGTCGCTGAATTCAATGTGTCTCTCACTGCCTTCGCCCGCTGACGCCGCAGGGGAGCCGGTGGATGCTCCTCCCGCACCGAATCTCTTTCTCCAAACCCTAGAAAACGCCGAATCGGCCGCTGATTTTGACGGATATTCCGGTGTGTCGCCGGCCGACGGCGCTTCCGTTCTTTCGGCGGGTTCTGGTCAGGGCGGCGTGTCTTCGCCGGTGCGGCAGCTCAACGACGGCTCGTCTTCGCGGTGGTCGCATGACTTGGCTTTGAATTCCGCGGTGGCGCCGGAAGCGTGGAGTGCTCCCCAAGAAAACTGGCTCTTACCTGCAAACGACGGTCCAGTGGGCGGAGAATCCGCCTCTGAAGTTGTGCCTACCAAGATGGTGACTGTCGTTGACTGGTTGTTGTGTTTCTTTGGCTATGTTTTTAATTTTTTTCTCTAAATGTTTGTGTGTTTGTTTGACAGGGAGCTGGGCTTTCAAATCTTGGCAACACGTGCTTTCTTAATTCTATCCTGCAATGTTTTACGCACACGGTGCCTCTAGTGCAGGGTCTTCGTTCCTGCATTCATTCTTCTCCTTGTGATGGTGAGTTACCTTTGTTTGAATTTATCTTTGATGCTTTTTGCGTGTTTAGTTTTGGTTTATTGAGTGATATATTGTGGTAAGGTGTAACAGTTTGCAGGGTTTTTTTTTTTTTGGGGGGGGGGTTATTGATTGCAGATAATTAATTTTGTGATTGAGAGTCCTGATTGTTTTAGGGATTGAATCTTGTAAATTAGCACCTTTACTGTTGCTCCTTGCAATTATGTGTGTAGTTTGACTGTGTTTTAGGAATTCTCTTTTATTTTGCGAGGATTTTGATTTTTGGGATTGGAAATTTCAGGTTATATGGATGGGTTCTGTGTTATTTGTGCTCTTCGAGACCAGGTTGAAAGTTCCTTAGCGGCTTCAGGAAGGACTCTTTCACCTTTGAAATTTGTGGACAATTTGAACTGTATCCTTATTTATTTATTATTATTATTTTTATTTATTTCTATCACTTTCATGATAAGTATTTTTTAATTAGCTTGCGGACCACTGTGGGCTGATGTTCAATTACTTGACTAGGAGAATTAAGGATTGTCATTAGTAGTAGTAGTGATTGTTGCAACGTTGGCTTGTGAAATATAACTTTTAAACATTGCAATATTTTTTCCCAACTTATGGCTGTTGTGATCCATAACCCCATAACAGATTTTTCCTCTGCATTTGGAAGATACCAGCAAGAGGATGCCCATGAGTTTATGCAGTGTGCCTTGGATAAACTGGAAAGAGGTTTCCTAGATTTGAGGAAGAATAATTTAAATTTTGAGGGTGATAATCTTGTAGAGAAAGTATTTGGAGGTCGTCTCATTAGCAAAGTATGATGGAGAAGTGCTTTGTTAAACAATTTGGTTTATGCCTCCTATATGATTTGTGATGTTGTGCTTACTAACAATTATCTGTTCCTTACTTGTGTTTGTGTGTCAGCTTCAATGCTGTCGCTGTGGCCACACTTCTGATACTTATGAGCCATTGATTGATATGAGTTTAGAGATAGAAAATGTAGATTGTCTTCCAAGTGCTCTGGAATCTTTTACTAAGGTGGAAAACATTGATGCAAACATTAGATGTGATAACTGCAAGGAAGAAGTGTCCATGGAGAAGCAGCTTATGTTGGATCAGACGCCATCAGTTGCAGCATTTCATCTGAAGAGATTCAAGACAGATGGTGTCCTTGTTGAAAAGATTGATAAGCATATTGATTTCCCATTGGAGTTAGACTTGCAGCCCTATACTATTTCTAATCAAAACAATGATGTGAGCTGTGATTTTATAACTTACATTTTTCTTGATTATTGCATATGGGTAGTTTTAGAGTATTCTTGATTCCCTTGTGAATTCTGTGGCCTGACTCATTGTTATGTTGATAGGTACCGTTGAAATATAATTTATATGCCATTGTTGTGCATATTGGCTTTTCGTCTACTTCAGGGCATTATTTCTGCTTTGTTCGCTCTGCTCCCAACACATGGCATAAGATGGATGATTCAATGGTAGCGTTGTTTCCCCGTAGATGTGCTTATTTATTTTGCAAATCCTATGTTCAATAGGAAAATTTTACTGTCTTACTAGGCTTTGTTCATGGTACAAGATAACTAATTGGCATTTGTGTATCAAATCTGAGGTTTTTTTTATTTATTATTTTTATATAAAGTTTTTACACTTGGTTTTACATGTTGAATATTGAGCTTTGAATGATTATTGCCTACAGTTAAATATGCTTATAGCAAGAAAAGTGACATTATCATATTTAAATTTGTTTTTAGTACCTATGTAAGCATTTGGAATTGCAATGGTTGAAATGTGGGCAAGATTTTAGTTCTTTCCTCATTCTTTCCTTAGAGGTTCAGTCATCCATATCTCTAAAATATTCATTTATTGTGCCCCCCCCCTCCCACACACACACAGACAGAGACAGAAAAAACAATATGGTTTGTGTTTTTTAACTATTGTGTTGATTATTACTTGTTCTGGAGTTGATGTAGTATCTGGGTTTTTTGTTCAGGTTACTGAGGTCTCGGGGGATTCTGTACTGTCTCAGGAAGCATACATATTGTTTTATGCACGAGAGGGTACTCCATGGTTTTCGAGTATTATGGAATCTCAAACACAATGCTCGGATCCAAATGTTTTGAGTACATCTCCTAAGTCTGTTTTAGACGTTGGTGACAGCATGTGCAAATCAAATCCTATTATAATTTCAAATATTGAAAGAGGTGGGGCTGGTGAATACACTGATTGTCCTGGGCCACAGTTTGATTGTCAAGAAAGACATACTATTCTTGAAATGAATGACACTACAAATTCTACTCATGGCCGGGGAAGATTTATCTCTGGGTCAAATAATAAAAGCGTTGATTTAAATGGCTCTAAAAGTGTTGATGCCCAAGTGTTGAATATGGAGAATGAAATATTGAATGGCAGTGACATATTTGATGGAAATTCATATATGGGGATTGGCGGTCAAGATAATAACTTGAACTGTCAAGAAGTTGTCGATTTTAGAGAGAATGATGGTTTCCATTCCATAACTCCGCCCAGCTCCCCTCGTGATGATTCTCCAGGTAGTTTAATATACTTCCGCTAGATATCCTTTATTCAGCATTATTTCTATGAATGACTTGTCTGTTTAATTATCTTTAGTTGGATTTGTCAGATCAGTTTAATATCTCACGTGATCATTTGAAGAGGGAGAAGCATGGGAGCTGTAAAAGAGCATCAAATATGTTAGCTGGGGATTCTGAAAGACAAGCAGCCATGAAATATCTCAACAATACCAAGATGCCTGGTTCCAGGAGAGGGGCACTTTTGCAATTTGTTAGTCCAAAAGAATCTGTGGACAAGAAGAGAAAACATATGGATTCATCGCAATGTAAAAAAAGCAACTCACTTGGTGATCGTAAAAAACCAAACCATACATCTGTCAGTCGCCCTGTGGCAGCTGGAATTTCACAGTGAATAGTCTTTTGTTGTTTTGGAGATGTTCTGATTTCTTTTAGTGAAAAACCTAAGCATGTGATCTTTTTACTATAACTTGTCAATACCTTCGACCGAATTGTATAGTTTCAAGCCTGAGTGAGAAATGCATGAACGTACTGGTTGTCTTGATATGTTCCCGTCTGCACAGATAGAACATAGCTAGTGAGGACAAGGATGTAAAAATGATTACTTTGATAAATAAGACGATCTTAAGTGATCCTGAACATCCCAACATTGATAATATCAGAAAAATCCAGTGTTTGATACTTCGATTTCTTGCCCCAACTTCCTGGGTTGCTTATGATAGATTCCCTTAATTGGACTTTGCCGTTTATATATAAATGTCTAGTTAATAGCAAAGTACCTATTAGCTTGTCATTAAGGTAGTTGTCTAATATAAAGTATTGTTCATGTCTAAGGGCTGCAATTACTAGGCAAAATATTCTTTAATGTAAATTTAAACACGTCAATTACTAACCAGCCCTTGATCATGTCAAGCGCTTGTCTGGACCCTTGAATGTTCTGGTCACTGGTAATATGATCTATATAAGGAATTACTATGCCTGCAACAAACCCCTTTCTCAGTTAGGTTTTCAATGGCTACTTTCATTAACTGAAATTATTTCAAACAGTGATTTTTGTTTTCTGACCGTACAATCCTGAGGCTTCTTGCAATGGACAAGTCACTTGCCATTGATCTTCCTGATCATGACTTTTCAAGCCCAGGAAGCACTAACAAACATGTTGTAGTTGTGATGGATGGGATGACAGAGTTTACAACAGATACTCTTCAATGGGCACTTGACAATGTAGTTACTGCTGGGTGCATCGTCACTCTTCTAGGAGTCATGCCATGGCTTAACATTCCACGTGAGTGTAATTTAGTTGTATTTGCTGTTATTGGTTTAGCAATATCCCTGGCCCTGGGGATTACTTTACTGTTAATAAATAAGTAACGTTCGTTACTTTCCTTCCGTAAACAGCAATAAACTCACTTACCTAGAGGTTATAATCCTGATCAGGCTTTTTGATCATAACAGTAGCGTAAAACAATTTACTAGTACGCAACTCACTTTATATTTATGTTTCACTGTCGCAACATTTTTTACGTCTCACGTTTCTTCCTTTTCTTTCTTGTAAAAAATTGTTGTATCGGTAAATAACAAATAGACATATATTCTCTTACAGCTCATTTCTACATCCCCAGTTTCTGTCTACCTTTCCGGTAATATCAATTGTCAAGTATCAAATCTATTACTTTCCCTCATAAAAAACCGTATTGGGAAATTAACTCACGATAAATGACACGTTTAACAACTAGTGTTCCTAAAAGCGAGGTAATCGATGACGATGAAGGCATGTTGGAAAATTATCTCACCAGAAAGCGTGTAATGTTTTGTAGTGTTTTTGAAGACAAGAAATGTATTTTGGACGGAGGAATTGGAAGATGCACATCCAGATCCAGTGAAGGAGAAAAATGGGTGCGGAAATGATGTAAAGTGTCTGAAGCGTCAAGCGGTTATAGATCTTTGCAGAAAGTATGGGGTACAAAACTAAACTCAGGCAACAACTTTACAATCACATTTCTCTCATTTGTTTATTTTGCAAACTGCACATTATCATCACAGGTTGTGCTACAGAAGAAAATTGTAATGGGTTATCCTCTGCGACTGTTGGTTGTGGAGCAAGTTGCCACCCTTTCTCCAACATGGGTCGTCTTTGACGGGTATTTTCGTTGGAATTAAACTTTGATTCAATCATACTGATTTAATTACTTCCAAATTGATCTTATTTGCTGTTTGGTATAGATTGAGTTGAAATGAAATGTTTTTGTTAGTTATTCATGTCTGGCTCATGGAAATGCTATATGGAACAGATCTCATAAAAGGAACAAAGATTTCTATGCTAAAAAAATTCCATGCAACATTTTCATGATAAATGGTGATGGAAGGGTTGACATGATCAAAAGCATGCGGATGACTGATATTCCTAGAGAATTGGCACCGTCTACGCCTCAAATGACAGTGTCTGAGGAATCAAAGAATAAGTGAAGAGATGACAAATATATGCCTCAAGAGGGTAACTCACTTAGTCAAAGTCAAGGGTGTTGGAAAGTAAACTCAGAAATAACAAGAACAGAGTATTCGCATATATACTATTTTGTATTCTATTTAACATACCAATACCAATAAATAATGAATATGCAGATAGTGTAAAGATCTTTTTACACTTTTTATTTAATTACTTTAAAAATTATATTCAAATTGCCTCCTCCACGATGTGTGATCCTCCAAATTGTCTTTCTCTTCTCGTATATATCTATGACACGCCATGGATTATCACAAACACCTAAAAGTTTTTCTTTTAATATGAAAAAAGTTATATTACTTTACTTTAATTAATTAATTCAAAATAAAAGAAATTTAAAATTTTACGTTGACTTATTTAAAAAATAAATTTGGCATCAGATATTTTTATTTCATCCATAAATTATAATTGATCAATTTTATTTGTTAAATTATTCTTAAAGTATTCATAATTCTATAATCAATTTAATATTTAGGGAATTACTGTGTTACTTTTATAAATTGAAGTATTTTGAAACAAGCATACTTTTAAATCAATAAAAATTCAAGAAATATTATATTAAAATTTATCTTCACATATTTATTGAATTATTCTATTAATCAAATCAATTAAGTTGTAGCGCACTTCTATATGGCGAAATTCAAACTTCATTTACTGAATTTTCATGTTAATAAGATTAATGAAAGTATAGTCATACATTTTTCCGGCAAAAAGGATTACTAATTAAAACAGTGAAAGGCTTAAATGCATTTTCCCCCTTACGCAGTCATACAATTTTAATTATTCAGAATTGCAATTTTAGTGATTTAAATTTTGTAATTGTGTAATTTTTATTTCTCATTATAAATTTAATAATTTTTATTGATGTAATATTAATGGATGACATGTATCAATATTTATAATTTATTTTTTTTCTAATATATCTATCTTATCAAATATATTATATTTTTGTAATAGTATATTAATATACTAATTTAAATTTATGAAATTATTAATTTATTTATAAATATATTAATAATATATATACATTTTATTTATATAGTAATAATAACTATATATAATTTAATATATGAATGAAATTTATAATATATGTAAATAGGTCAACAATTGCATAATTTTAAAATATTATATATATTAACTATAAGACTATAAGTTTTTATTAATTATTGTGTTTTTATCAATAATTATGTAGTGTGTAGTGTTTTTAGGTGTGATAGAGGGATCAAAATCTTCTGTCTCCAAACTCTGTCCCCCAATCATAAATTGCCACGTCATTACATTTATTTTTTATTTTTATTTTTAAAAAGTGTAACCAAAACGAAACCCCCGCGACGGAGCTCCTCTATCTCGGCACGGTAGTTAACTCTGTCAATCCCGCAACGACTTAATTTCCAGTCACGACGACGACCATTTCCGGCCACCATATCACAAACTCAACGACTCACCGGAGCTCAACCCGCTGCCACCACTCCCACGTCACAAATGTAGCCTTCTTCCTCCTTCACCCCGGCGACAGCGGTGGAGGAGGAAGAAGGCTTAAACGACAAGTCGTATAGGTGGAACTTCGGCACGTACTTCAGCTTCCTTAGGTTGCGGCAGAATAGCGTCGCCGGGATGTTCTGGTAGTATATTCCGAAGTCCAGTCCCGCCTTGTACAGGCTATCAAAGATTGTCTGTTGCGGGTACCTCGCTGCCAGCTTCGCCGCCACGTTGCTGGTGGCGCCGCCGGAGGTCGCCGAGTGCATGAATAAACGGTTCGGTTGCGTCGAGGCCGGCACGGAGGCGAACCACCTATCAACTCCAGAATCGTGCGTCAGTTACATTTTTTTTTAAAAATAAAATTAAAATTAAAAGTAATGATGTGGCAATTTAATTGAGATGGCATTTTATGATTGGGGGGACAGGGTTTGGAGACAGGAATTGGGAACAGAAGATTTTAATCCGTGATAGAGAGACTTTGGGAGTTAAGAAACTCTTGAAGGATGTTTAAGTGCTTTAGAAGGTTTCTCCATATAGATGTCTAGTTTGATCCCAAACAGAAAAAGTATACAAGGTTCTTGTTAAAAATTGAGTCTCATAAATTTAATTCTTTATAATTTTAAAGAAATAAATTAGATAAAAGTACTCTGCATTTGTGAGTTCTCTTTTTTGTTGCCATAATGACCACTACCACTGATGATGGTGAAGATAACAGTGATTACAATAGTGGTGGTGGTAATAACGACAATGATAATAACGAAAATGACAATAGTATGTGATATAGTGGAGGTAGTATTGTGGTAATCATTACAATAATAAAGATGTCAACAATAATAAAGAGAATTACAATAACATTAATATGTGATAACTTTATTTATAATTTTTTTAATTTAAAAATTATTATTAATTGTTCTTATGTTCTTATATTAATAAATATTTTCAAAGAGTCTTATATATACACACATTATATAATTTTAAAATTATTTGATTTTAAATATAAAATAAAATATACAATTATAATACTTAAAAAATTAAAATTATTCAATTAAAATCAAAATCATATTATTATAATACATAACCAACTAAAATTACTTCATTAAAACTTTAATATTAAAATTGCAATTGTACTAAAATTCCACCATTGCAATGAAAGAATAAAAACGGAAAAACGCACCTTTCCTTTCCATTAAACTTTTTTTTTATTCACTCTTACAATCAAAACTCTTGTTCACAAACTTGATTAAAAGTTAAAACTTGTAAAAAGTCATGAACAAATGCTTTCTCAATATAGATAAACTCCAACGCAGCCCATATATATATACACGAGTTGACAAACAAGTTAAACTCTAAAAATGTTCTTTCATATAGATATAATCACGATAACGATAGAAGGGAAGTATGAAAACAGTTCCATAATATTGCAATTAATAATTATAGAAATATTTTTGTTACATAAAAATCATGAGTTGACAACGTAAAAGTGCTTATAATGTTGATGGTATGATTGTGATTATGATTCGGTCATTAATAATACCATACTTATTCTTGATACATCAAAGGGGGCACTTGGATATCTATTGTGAATTAATTGTAGAGTAGTACGTATTCTTAGGGAACATAGCCACCATGGCCACCACCACTTCCGCCACCTCCTCCAAAACCACCACCATGTGCTCCACCTGCCCCATATCCACCTCCTCCACCGGCGCCCCCACCGCCACCATATCCACCTCCATGTGCTCCTCCGTCACCATAACCTCCTCCACTTCCACCACCTCCTCCATACCCACCACCAATATGCTCTCCACCAGCACCATAAGCTCCACCAGCTCCACCTCCTTCACCACCTCCATAACCAGCACCATGCTCTCCACCACCACCATACCCTCCACCTGCTCCACCTCCTTGACCACCTCCATAACCACCACCATGTTCTCCACCATTACCATACCCTCCACCAGCTCCACCTCCACCTCCTTGTCCACCTCCATATCCACCACCATGCTCCCCACCAGCACCATACCCTCCACCTGATCCACCTCCACCACCATATCCACCACCATGCTCTCCACCAGCACCATACCCTCCACCAGCTCCACCTCCTTCACCACCACCATATCCACCACCATGTTCACCACCATTACCATACCCTCCACCTGCTCCACCTCCACCTCCTTGTCCACCACCATAACCACCACCATGCTCTACTCCTGCACCGCCGCCACCACCAGCTCCTCCACCACTACCATATCCTCCACCTGCTCCTCCAGCTCCGCCATAACCTGCACCACCACCACCACCACTTCCACCACCACCACCATATCCATCTCCATGATCACCACCATATCCTACTCCTCCACCTTGTCCTCCCCCACTACCACCTCCATACCCTACAACTCCATGTTCCCCTCCATATCCTCCACCAGCACCTGAACCGCCGCCACCGCCGCCGCCAATACCTCCAGCAACACCAGCACCATAACCACCACCAATGCCATGGCCTAAACCATAGCCGCCTTCAAGGGTGAGAAGGGCTCTTCTGGCAGAACATACTCCTAGAGCCAACAGTACTAAGAAAACAACACTTGGAAGCCTGTGTATAGCCATAGAATGAAGAGAAGAGAGGTTGGTTTGGAGGTGGAGAAGGTTAAAGGATATTTATAGGGATTGGGAAGGCGCGTTGAGAGCAAAGAGTGGTTGAAGCACATGGATTTGAGAGTTGGACGTCCCCACAGTGTGGCCCAATATGCGAGCATACAAAGATACACTCACACTCGATGTAGACTCACACCATTCTCTTTGTGTGCTTCTGCTGTCTTCCACTTCCCAACATGCAATACAAATACCAAAGCTAAATATTTATTGGATGCCAAATATGCTAACATACATACCCAATATATATATGCCACAATATACTTAAAAAAAAACACACAACTGATAGACGCAATAAATTTTTGGTAAATCAAGGTATCTCTATTAATTAAGTGAATCACTAATCTCTTACTGGGATCTATTTAATAACTTAAGTTTTTTTAACAAATGCTTTTCTATATAATGCACAAGAGAGATAAAGAAAAAATGACGTGTGATTAAGGTGTTTGAAATATTTAGGTTTTCGGATATATTACTTCATGTACAAATAGCTACTCCAACAAACCTTCGCTTTTCTTTTTCTCTTTTCAACTTTATACCTAAAACCTAATTTAACTAGCTACTCTTATCCACTCTTTCTAGCCGGCTCCCACCGCCACTCATGACGACTTAGCACAGCATATTGCTTTCTTAACGTTGTTCTTCAATGGGTCTGCCATTCTTTCTTATATTATTTTCCTTTTGTGATAAATTCATGTCGTTCAGCCTAGCTATTAGACTTGTAATTAGTGAATCATTTCAATTGTTATGCAGCAAGTATCATTGGGCGCAAATATTCCTGCTTTACAGTGTGATTCATAAATTAGTACACTAATAAAGAAAGGCGTGATAGATGAAAGATGTTTGATGATTCTGATCGATCACCTTACCAAACTTTAACTGAAATTAATTGATGCTCGCTTGTAATATATACCGTATTTATCAGTAAATTCCTCGGGGATTTTTGTAATAAGTAGAATATAGTGGGGACATTCAATTGAACACCAACATATATTTTATGTTATTCTAATAATCCAACAACTAATCATATTACACTTCTTTTTTAAAATCTGTTTCAATAGTTTTACCTTTAGACATAGAGAACACGTTACTCGACCATTTTTTCAACACGCTTTATTGTTAAATGAATTTGTTGTGAATGTTGCTGGTTAGGGAATGAGTTATATTATTTATATTACGATCTATTTTACGATACTAATTTTTCCTCTTTATCTATAATTTCCATTAATTGTCTTCCTTAATTTTTTGTTTGTTTTTTTATCCTTTTATTTATATCACATGTATCTTTCCTCCATTAGAAATAATCTTATTTAAGTTGGATATGATTATTATGAGTGACAATTTCCAAAGTTTCTTCAAATATTTAATACAATTATATATTAAGAACTTGAACTTGAGATCACTGATTAAGTCAGAATAATTTTTTAACAATTGATTCACGTGTTCAGTAATGTTTTGATTGTTGAAGAAATATTGCAACTCATTATTTCTCTTTCTGTAGTCTAACCTAATGGATCGATCCCTCCAAATTTCTAATGATCTTAATAAGAAAGTAGAAAAATAGGTTGGATCGTGCATATGTTTTGCAGCCTAGCAAGGCATACAACCTTCACAAAGCAATAAAATTGTAATGTATCCGGATGTCGAAAACTCACAGGAGTTCGAGCAGCAATCCGCAGGCCTTAATTTGGTTTCTATTATGATATCATTTGGGGGTGTTACTTGTGTGGACTGTAACACAAGTTTCCAAATCTATAAATAAAACTTAGATTGTATGAATTAAAGATAGATTTTTGTAGCTCATAATAATCTTATCTAACTTATATATAAGAATATTGTCTCTAGTAAAAGATGGTGATCTGTATATATAGAAAGAAAAAAAAATTACACATTTTATGAAATGTTGTACTAAAACTTGAATCCAAAAATCGAATCAATGAAATTTCATATCTGAAGTTATTTGATATGATAAATGGGTCTTGCACGTGTAGAAAGACATTCTTATTTGTGTTATTTTTTTCTATTATTATTTTTTATTTTTTAAACATGACATCAATTCCTTTAATTGTTGGCCAATATTTAGGTCAGATATTTAACGGTTTGCAGAAGATCTGTCTGGTTTCTCTTGACATAATTAGAAAGTAATAATGGAAGGACATGCAATCTAAAATACTGCAAAATATGTATTATTAATAGACCATTGTAAGTCTTGACGAGCTTCCAATCCATTCGACATATATGTAAAACATAAAAATTAGAATACAATGCATAAATAGTTTATAAGCATCCCCCTAACCATACTCATACACTTATTATTGTTACTATGGCCACAAGGAGGACACTTTCTAAGGTAATTTATTAATCTCAAGGGTAGTATCCACCACCGTGGCCACCACCTTCACCACCCCCACCACCAGCTCCATATCCACCCCCATGTGCACCGCCACCGCCAGAGCCTCCACCACCGCCACCACCAGAGCCGCCGCCACCACCACCAGCTGCCCCACCACCATATCCTCCACCAGCTCCTTCACCACCACCATATCCACCTCCATGTGCTCCACCAGCACCTCCTCCACCGCCACCACCACTTCCACCTCCGCCTCCGTATCCTCCACCATTGGCTCCACCGTATCCACCACCAGCTCCACTCCCTTGCCCACCTCCATAACCACCACCAGCACCACCAGCACCCCCTGCACCACCGCCTCCTCCTCCTCCACTTCCACCACCACCACCATAACCACCTCCATTTGCTCCACCTTCACCATATCCACTACCACCCCCTTTACCAGCGCCTCCTCCATATCCAGCACCGGCAGCACCACCACCGCCTCCTCCGCCACTTCCTGCACCACCACCGTGTCCACCACCCGCAGCACCATATGCACCACCGGCACCTTCACCTCCGCCAGCTCCTTCTCCATAGCCACCTCCGCCGAGCTCTACTCCGCCTCCGCCTCCGCCTCCACCTCCACCACTACCTCCACCACCGGCATAACCGCCGGCAACAACTCCAACAGTGCCGTGGCCTAGAACAAAGTTAGCATGTTCCTCTTGAGTGAGGAGTGTTCTAGCGGCAGAGCAAATGCCTACACACAACAACACAAAGAGAACGTTATTGAGAATTACCTTAGAAGTTGCCATTGCAAAGCGTGGTTTTAGAATGCAAAGTGCATGCGTATATATAGGAATGGGCCTGGCCCATTAGTCAATAGGAGGGGCCCAATAGCGCGTTTAATTCAGCGAAGTGTGGCCCACTGCACATGAAGAAGTTGGTCGGGTACAAGTACAAAAAATCGCACTAATAGACCCACTGGTGTGCTTTTGCTGTCAACCATTACCTTCATTTCATTCTCATTATGCTCGCTACGCAAAAATAAATGTTACTTCTATCTCATATTCTCATAGAACATCTATCTGTTTTCTCTCAAGAATGTCTAGTCATCATTTATCTATTTAATTCACATTTAGCACCATTGGCTATAGGGTAACTATTTGTTTCATATTTCAGCATGCAGCAACTTGTTCATTGGTCTGTATTGATCATGCATGATATACCAATTGGCTTTTAATTTTGTGTACACTATATTTTAAGCCTTCCTTTGCTTTTAGATAATGCAAAAACTTGTTGAGTGATATGATTATCGTGTTGTGAGTGGTTCATACAACAAAGGCTAGAACGGACAAGGGAAATAATATTGTACTCAATTTATTTGGTAAATTACGATTATTATTTGCACCAAATTTATATTGTTTTTTAGCTACAATCCTACACGATATCGTAAGGTGTTGTAATTGGAACATAATATCCTAATTATAAGTTATTGACTTTTAACAGTAATATAATTAAAAGTCACGATATAGGTTTGAGATGAATTACTTTATAATAAGTACTCAATGATAATTAATGATCCATTAAAAAAAATGTTTAGGGTTTAAGATTTTAGATATAAATCCTAAATGATAATTATATGAGTGCGTACTTTTTGAAGGATAGAAGAATAATAAGTGATCCAATTAGGTTATGATCAGGATACATGTGACAGTGTCGTATTCTATCAATTATGGTGGACTCAATATTTAAAAAATTAGACACTCAAACCTAACAATTTTCCCAGGCCCCTAATAATTAATGTCAAATTTCAAAATTTGTAAAGATCGCCAATCGTAGAGATTTAAAACTTTAAATTTATCAATTAAATTAAAATAAAATAAAATTTATAAGTATTTGTACCGTGGTGGTCTCCCATTGGCCGACCCGAGGCACATCGACAAAATGCACCATGGAGGTCCCCCAAAAATCGATCAAACCGAACCTACGCAATACCGACCCAACATGCTCTTCGCACTTTAGTGCTTGAGCATGGAGGGCTATGTACCGTGGTGGTCTCCCATTGGGCGCCGACCCGAGGCACATCGACAAAATGCACCATGGAGGTCCCCCAAAAACCGATCAAACCGAACCTACGCAATACCGACCCAACATGCTCTTCGCACTTTAGTGCTTGAGCATAGAGGGCTATGTACCGTGGTGGTCTCCCATTAGCCGACCCGAGGCACATCGACAAAATGCCAAGCCCATAATAGGGACCCAAATATGGGAAGATTCACTGGCTCACTCAGACAATCAATAAGATCCCACAATCCGTGGGAACGGTAATAAATACCGAGAGTTACGAGTCCACAATGGGACGTGATTTATGAGATCATAAAGAGGAGTGTGTGATTCATGTCTGTAACGCTACACCATTATATATAGCAATGATTAGGTCTAAGAAAGTAGGTTACTCTCATCAAATGTTCTAGGTCAAGACTGCTGTCAAGTTCTTTTAGCTTGATATCGCTAAGGGTTCTTCGGCAGCGGTCTCCAATACCGGAACATTTTGGCGCCCACCGTGGGGCAGGTAAAACTGCATCCCACACCTTGGTTACCTTGTGTGATCGGGAGGTCACGATGCGTAGGTTACTAAGGAGCAATAAAACTATCGAGAAAAAACAGGCATAGGTATGATCGAGGTCAACCAAAAGGCGTCAAGGAGATGCCATGAGGATAGCATAAGTATAAAGGCAACAAGAAGGAATGAGGATCTTCCAACGAACGCACGCACTGACCCAGTGTCCTCTCTTTTTCCACATTCCCGGAGACGTCGTCGTTTCGCCAGGGCCGGCGCCTCCTCCTCCTCACTCCAACATGGCCTCCGCCGACAAAACGAAGCCCTCCTCCGCGCTCTCGCCCCTCGTAGGCGTCGTCATTTTGGGCATCGCCTTCATTCACGTCTCCACCGTCTTCGTCTTCATCGACTGTTGGTTCGGCCTCCTCTCCTCCCCTGGCATCATGAACGCCACCGCCTTCATCGCCCTCGCCGCTGCCTGCGCCCTCACCTACCGCGCCGCCATTCTCACGGATCCGGGTCGGGTCCCCTCCACCTACTCCCCCGACGTCGGAGACCTCCACAGCCCCGTCCACCAGATCAAACGCAAGGGTGGAGATCTGCTCCCTGACTTGGCCTGCTTCTCCTCCAAACTCCGGCACCGATCCGCGAGGAGCGGAGCGCGTGAACTTGTCTCTCGTCGCAACTCATCGAAGTCACCGGAGCCAGCTTGGGCCTAAAGGCTGTTCGCCACGTGTCGGTGGCCGGCAGCGGTAGCTATCCGCTGCGCTCAGACCTATTCGATTGCCAGGACACACGCCCAATTAGAAGATCCAAACCTTGGTGTGAAGAGCACCTTAAGGTTAGAATTTAGAAGACCCGAACCTTAGTGTGAATAGCACTTTAAGGTCGAAATTTTGACGATCTACACCTTGGTGTGAAGAGCGCCTTAAGGTTAGCATTTTGACGATCAAGACCTTGGTGCAAATAGCACTTTGAGATCGGAATTTAGACGATCAAGACCTTGGTGCAAATAGCACTTTGAGATCGGAATTTAGACGATCAAGACCTTGGTGCAAATAGCACTTTGAGATCGGAATTTAGACGATCAAGACCTTGGTGCAAATAGCACTTTGAGATCGGAATTTAGACGATCAAGACCTTGGTGTGAATAGCACTTTAAGGTCGGAATTTAGACCATCAAGACCTTGGTGTGAAGAGCGCCTTAAGGTTAGAATTTTGACGATCAAAACCTTGGTGCGAAGAGCACTTTAAGGTCGGCATTTTGACGATCAAGACCTTGGTGCAAATAGCACCTTAAGGTTAAGCAACTTCGGCCCGGCTGATGACTGATAAGAATAACCAATGCGTCTCCATACGCTACGTATCGGCTCGGCCGAATGCCGATAGAGTTTGGATAACCGAACAAATGCCTGTCGGCCCGGCCAGCGGTCGAGGACACCCAGCAACCCAAGCATTTACCT